CTGCACTGGCATATAGGCAAGCAGGGCGAGGCAGCGGGGATCTTGGCCAATGCTGGCACTTGCGGGCACGCTGCGCGGATGCATGTGTGCTGCGCTGTGCAAGGCAGTGCTGCGCTAAGAGCAAGCAGGCCAGCGCTAGGCGGTAGGGCGCTGCCTGCATGCAGGGCACTGGCGGCCATAGCCGGGCCGCATGAGGGTGCAGGGGAGGTGAGGGCGAAGGTGGTACTTCAGAGGTGAAGGGTGCTGTGTGGGTAACAAGGGAGAGTGTGGGGAAGAGGACACGTACCTGGTGATGGTGGAGGTCTGCATTGGTGTTGACATCATCACTCGCTGGTAGTCAAGTTGTCTGGTTGCTGTTCATTACTGTAGTTGTAGGATAGGCTGTAGAGTAGATAGGGCGCCTGGCGCCATTCACAAGAGAGAGCTACATTTGGGTTATGCTGTTGGTGTAGCCCTGTTGGGCATGGACATTGACTCACGATTCTTCTGTATCATTCTCAATGGGATGGTTACTCGGTTCCATGTGCTATCTGGTTTGGCTTTGAATACTTGGACTTCAGTGTGATTTTGCATTCTGGATTTCTGTGCTTCGTCCATACTCATGTTCCTTGCAATGACATTGATTGGTCTGATCATTGGTATATTAGCCTTCCGATGCGCTATCTTGTACTATGTGAGAGAGGTCGGTTCTTGTTCTGGTCTGGCTGAGTCCGTAACAGAAGTCGTGGCGCCCACTCATCTGCACCCTCATTCTCAGCATGAGCAGATGCCACTCCTACTGACTGCTCCCTTTTGGGTTCCGAATCAAGGGACTCCATGCTATGATACCCTCGTTGTGCCGCACTTGAGGCACTGATCCTTACCCATCCTTTCCTGCCATACCACTTGAGTCATGCTCATTTTCTTCGCACTTGAGCTCACCAGCGGTGATGCCAACATGCAATAGGAAGTTTCTTGGCTTCTTCTTCTTTTCTTCGTTATTCTGGCCTCCCTTGCTGGCCGCTGCAGTAGCAACATCTCTCGTCACTGAGCCACTGCCGCTATCCCCCTCCCCCATTTCTCTTGAGGGGCTCTCTCTCTACAGTATAATCAGCAAACACGTCTAGGAGATGGTCTTGCTTTTCACGTCTAAAAAGAACCCTTCTACTGGGTCCATCCTGGTGTCCCCCCTTTGCTGCCCCAAACTGTGACCTCCTGATTTGTGTTGTTATTTCCTCTCTTCGCAGGGCCAAATCTCTGAATTGCCTGTAATCTTGTTCTCCAGACTTAGCTTCCTTTACCAGCTGTGATCTGATAGGTTCCGGCATGGATCTGGAGTAGACATACAGTACTTTGTTAGGTACCTATCTCAGCCTATTCTTCTCTGGACAAACTGTCCAGCAGGGCTCTAGAGTAGACATACAGTACCTGGTCATCTTTGACATTTACGTTAGGTCATCTTTGACATTCGTCCGCAGAAGTCCAACGCCTTGACCTATAGCCATGATTTGGTCGAAAGCTTTGCCTGATTTCCCTGGACAAAGCATCGGCGGGGAAGTCCATCGCCTTTGACGTACAGCCATGATTTGGCCGAAAGCTTTGCCAGCACGAGTCTTCTCCAAGAAACAGTTTTTCAATTTCTTGAGGAAGTCCTTCATATTTTGGTTCTCTGCCCGCTATCCGGCATCATCACCATATCTGGCAGCATTTGCTTCATTCAGCACTCAGGCCTTGGCATCTTCACCCAGGCATCAGGTGGTACGTGCCACTTGACTCTCACGTTGGACAGGGGTGATAGACCAGTATGTCTGTACTCGTGTGATTTGCTATGATCCTGGTCAGCTCCCAATGCAAAACTCATAAAGACATAACGCAATTCATTTTGCGACTCAAATGAAAGAAGATTGGAAGATGGATGAGACAGAAGAAGAAGAAGAAGAAGATAACCACATGCTGGAACCAATGTTATCTCTCCCTCATCTCGTGCCCATCATCTTTCCCCACATCACCTCCTCCATCATCTTCTTCCTATTAACAATAGTAAACAATAACAGTGAATGAAAGAGGCAGATCAATGTCTGATTACTCCCCCTTACTTTCTGAAACATGAAAAGCACTCCCTTGACCTCCCACACCACCCTTACACCTTGGAATGACATTTGGCTATGGTGGAGCATCCAAGCCCAGCTCAGATGTTCAAGGGACAACATAAATGTTTCCCTGCTCTCGCCTGCAACAGCCGCCAAGCCTACCCCATGGGATGAAGTCCATAGCCCACTGATTCCCCGTTCAGGGGCCTTCTAGATGCACTACCAACCTTGGAGATGAAGATTCACGTCCACCGTAGCCAAAGGGGTGTCTCCTTCCTGGTTCCGTCCTCCTTCATTCTCCACGTACCACTACTACACCTCCATAGCCTAGCTAAAGGTCCTTCTCTCTCACCTCTATAGTTTTTTTGGACAACTTCTACCTCCTCCCTTACTACACCTCCATAGCTATGGAGGTTTTCTTCATTATCCTCTAGCTCGGCCTTCGTCCTCGAGGAGATCCGCCAATTCTCCCTATTGGCAGAGCCGCAGCATAACTTTCGTCTTTTCCCCCACCCTTAACTGCCGGGTGAACGAGTGGAATGCTCATTTGACCTAATGATAGACTTGCTGACTCCAGCCTTGGTACCTCTCAGCCAGGTGCTACCTGCCCCAACCCACCTAAATTGGGTGCACTGGACCTACCGGGTGTTCCCTCCTCTTGGCGAGAAGATAATTGCAGACTGAAACCTACCTACAGGCCCTGAATCTAGACTACTACTCACCTACATTCAGGATCTGAACCTAGTCGGTTTGGCCCCTTGGCTTAAAGTTTGATTTTGCTCCATCCGCACGATGTCAGTCTCAATCATAGTGATCATGGAGGGCTGTGCTTTGTCTCTTGCGACAAGCTCTTTGTCGATCGTCTTTGCACATCTTCACTTTCAGATAGTCCAGAGAGACACCTTCCTTAGGAGTACGGACCACCTCTTCTTTCTGTCTTTCAGGGACCGGGGAAGATTGATATATTTAGTAAGATGTCGATGAGAGGGATGGCACGGGGTTAGGACGCGAAGAGACTCGACCAGAGTTCCCTGATCCAGGCCACTTCACGGCAATTGACCGAGCACGGGCAGGCAGTGCACTCTATCTTCTGTGGAGTTGGATTGACACATGGCCCAGAGGGCCGGCGGTCGGTATTCTCTGAGTCTGACCATTTCCTCTTTTCATGCAATCATCTGTTGACTGGGAGAACATTGGACGGTTGCATACTACGGATCTTGGATGGCTTTATCGTGTGGAAATGATGCACTGCCACCTCCACAGGTGGTCATACACAATATCGCCATACGAGGTATTAGGAATCTGCTCTGGTGTCCTTCGGGATATCCGTTAAAATTGGAACAATACAGAGAAGATTAGCAGGGCCCCTGCAAGCAAGGATGACACTCATAAATCGAGAAATGGTCCAAATTTAAATTATATAGAAAAAAAGCATGGCCCCTGCGCAAGGATGCCACACATAAAGTGAGAAATGGTCCAAATCAAAAAAAAAAAAAAAAAGAGAAAAGGAATCTGCTCTGGTAGCAGCCAAATTGTAATGAACCCAAACTCATGAGAAGCTTCCAAGAGCATACCTTCTTCACCCGATTACAACGTACGGTTGTTATGGCTGTATTCGGACTTGAAGATGCTCCAAATACAGCCATAATGACTGTACGACATTTACATTGTATTCGGGGGAAGCAGGTAGCTCAGTGGGTACACCCATGAACTGTTGAAATACAGACCCGAGTTCGAATCCAGATGATGGAACTTGATGAGCAAAACCAAATATTTCTGAATTGCCTAGGGCTGGTCAGCTCAATGATGATATCCTAAGGCCGCCACCCTTTTTTTTTTCTTTTCAGAAACTTAGAAAGGGAAAAGAAATAAAAATGAGAAGCGTCCAAGATCAGCATCATGCACGTAGTCTCTCACATAGTATCACACACAACAGTCAAACGTCATCTGCAGTAACCAGACGTTTAACAACAGAGGTAGAGGAGTAGAAGAGAGGAGGAGGAAAGCTTCGTTAATAATCAATGAAATGAGTACGATTGAGCAGCTCTTCCAATCCCTCTTCCACTCCAGGACCTCGCTTACCACACTTGCCACTCAGCATGTATCTTCCTACTGCCATCCTTGATTCAGTCTCTCCGCAGCATTCTGACCTCCAGTATGAAAGCTCAGCTATGGAGGTTGGCGCTCAACACCACCAGTGTTCATGCGCAAGCCTCTGTCTCATTGTCATCAGAAATGACAGGTAAGTCAGGCAAGCTCCTCCCTCCTCTCTCCGTACGCCACAGGTCTTGATCACTCTCAACCTCACTCTTTATCTACTCTACAAGCTGCGGTGTTGGGCACACTACTATAGTTATGTTTGTCTACTACTTTTTCCCTGGTTCCTCCGGCGCTCCATAGCAGCGTGAGGCAGAATGATGAATGAGCCGAGTGGGGCAGGCCTCTCTTTTGTAGGATTTGACTGGCTTGGCCTGCCTCCATGTGCCTTTTCGTGTGGCTGAGATTTCTCGATCTGAATGGCTCAGATGTGTTGTTGAACAGTGTGTGCCTGGACCCAGTGGGCCTCGGAAACTTCCGGGACATTGCAGACAGCCATTGGATGTGCCCAGATTTGTGGCCATGGTGGACTCCTGGGAAATGTCTGACTCTTTGACTCCTTTGCCTGTGCTGGGCCTGACTCTTGATTCTATGAGAGTCAACTGCTGGGGCCACGGGCGGCCTCTTTTGACTCTTGACCCGGTACCTATTTATCTGCACAATCCCCATATTGATGTGTTGAGTCATTAACTCCTCTAAACCACCAGCACATCCGGGCGTGGAGGCGCTGCACTGCGCGCCAAGCTTTTCTGAACCGCCAGCAGCGCACTTTTTCCTTTTCTGTTTGGCGCCACCAGCCATTGTGGTCCGGTAGCCCCGAGCCCCGAAAAGCTCGGACTTGGCGACTTGCAAGTTTCTGCAAGGCTGGGGCAGTGTACTGGCGGGGTTCAAACCCTTTTACTCCAGCGATTACTACTGGCGGGGTTCCCCTTTACTCCAGCGATTACTACCGGCAGGGTTTGAACCCTTTTACTGCAGCGATTTCTACTGCGGGGTTCGAATCCTTTTACTCCAGCGATTACTACTGGCGGGGTTCGAACTTCGAACACTATTACTCCAGTGATTACTACTGGCGGGGTTCGAACCCTTTTACTCCAGCGATTACTACTGGCGGGGTTCAAACCCTTTTACTCCAGCGACTACTACTGGGGGGGTTCAAACTCCAGTAATCGCTGGAGAAAAAGGATTCGAACCCAGCCAGTCATGCCATTGTGGTCGGGTAGCCCGGCAGCGATTACTGGAGCTCAAACCCAGCCAGTACACTGCCCGCCAGCCTCTGAGGATCCAACTCTGTTGTAAGTGGACGGCCAGCGGACGAAATCACACGCAGCAAGGCGAGGGCGAGGGCGAGGGCGAGGGCGAGGGCGAAGGCAACAAGACACGGAGGGACAAGCAGCAGCAATGCATGTAGGCTGGAGGGCACAGGGAGGCTGGTGGGCAGACAAACAACAGTATGAGCAGCAGGGCGGCACTATGAGAAGCAGGCTGCATGGCAGCAATGGAGCGAGGCAGCAAGGTGGCCTGTCGACATGCCGGCATTGATGGAACGATGCACAAGGCAAAAGGCAGCGAGGCGAAAGGCAGGAAGGCAAGCTGCAGAGAGGGCAACAAGGGAGCAAGGCTTGAGGCATGGCGAGGAAACAACGAGCAGGGCACAGGGCAGTGACGGAAAAGGCAGCGAGGCCAAAGGCAGCCAAACGACAAAGCAAGCAGCATGGAAAAACACAGCAAGCAGCACGGAACGACTAGGCAAGCGGATAGGCAACTAGGCAAGGAGGCAGCAAAGGCAGTCCATACAACCGACACAGACCAAAGCAGCCCATCACCTACTCACACCACAAGTAGAACCCCACATTGGATGTTCACACAACCATCCTAGCCAGGGAGTCAGCTTGATGAACATCTGTCATCACCCAAGGGGCATGGACACAGGCAGCCTGAACCCAGCAGCCCCCGTAATAGTGTCGCAGGCACCCCAAACAAGCAGGCGTTGACTATTCGGCACGTCTTAGTGGTGCTGACTTAGACACAGAAAATACTTGTGCATCTAGGCAAGGAGGCAGCAAAGGCAGTCCATACGACCGACACAGACCAAAGCAGCCCATCACCTCAAGTAGAACCCCACATTGGATGTTCACACTACCATCGTAGCCAGGGAGTCAGCTTGATGAACATCTGTCATCACCCAAGGGGCATGGACACAGGCAGCCTGGACCCAGCAGCCCCCGTAATAGTGTCGCAGGCACCCCAAACAAACAGGCGTTCACTATTCAGCACGTCTTAGTGGTGCTGACTTAGACACAGAAAATACTTGTGCATACACGTGGTCGTGTGTGTGTGTGTGTGTGTGTGTGTGTGTGTGTGTGTGTGTGTGTGTG